TCGTCGGAATGAAATATACGTTATAATCAAGCAGACGCAATTTCTTTGGAGAAATCGCGAACGAGAAGATCGTCTCCAGTCGGCGAATTTTACCCACACTTCTAACATTTTCCATTTCAAAATTAACCTCGGTATGTGCAAAAAATTCTAAGTTACGTACTAAACTCGGTGGAATATTTTTTTTTTTTCATTCTCCCTCCGAAACTAAAATCGAGAACAAATTGCTCGGGTTTCAAAGGGTTAAATGAATCTCGTTAGAGGAGCGAGAGAAGAGAAATTCGTCCGGTGAAAAGTCGGGGAGAAAAGTGGCGGAGGAGAGGAAAAAAAGATCGAAGATGAACGAGCGAGAAAGTTTGCGATGAAAAATGACGTCTCATTGGCACGAGTCGAATGCCGGTGTGAAAATGAACGCGGAATAAATTGCTGACCGGAAGGGAACGATGGGAAATGAGAAGGAGAGAAGGATGGAGGTTTGAAAAAGTGGCGTTTCTTCGAAACATCGCAATTACATACATCTTTCGCCGGTCTCTGCGGAAGGGCGTTTTAAAAAAATGAAGATCTCGTCGGCTGGGAAGTTTTAAAGTGTCTGTGATAGATGCGGAAGGGATGTAAAGTGACTCTGAACTAAGATGAATCTCGCGGTCTTGAGAACTCAATTTCAAGGAAGAAGATAAGGTCTTTTAGTTTCAGAGTTTCGCGGTTAAACGTGGCTTAAACATTCCAATTAACATTGTGACCAGAGTTAGAATTGTGTGCTATGAGATGTATAAAGTTGCATTTTATGGTGGATTAAAATTGAAGATCTTTGGTCATCTCGAAAAATGAAGATTTCTCAGGAAATAAAAAAGAATACAATTTTTTTTTAGTTACTACCAATTTTTTAGGGTAACTGTACTAATGGTAGAATTTGACGGTTTGTTGCGCCAAGATGATAGAATTTTTGTTTAATTAGACGGAGAGATTCTAATCTAAGAATGGCGAAAAACGAAGGTGATCGATTTTTGCAGTGAAGATTTTTTCCGGAAATAAAAAAGGATAACATTTTTCTTTTATCATCTCCACTGTCTTTATAATAGTAGGAGTTGACTGTACGTTGCACCAAACCGATAGAATTTTTGTTTAATTAGTAGAATAGGTTCTAATTTAAAAATGGCCAAAAACGGAGATGATCGATTTTTCAGAAAATAGAAAAGAATTCAATTCTTCTTTTTTGTCCACCTCAAGTTTTTTATACTAACTATAGGTACTAATGATAGTAACGACTGTTTGCTGCACTATAAAGCGATAGAATTTTCACTTAATTAGTAGAAGAGGTTCTAGTTTAAAAATGGCCAAAAACGGAGATGATCGATTTTTCAGAAAATAGAAAAGAATTCAATTCTTCTTTTTTGTCCATCTCAAATTTTTTATACCAACTATACTAATGATAGTAACGACAGTTTGCTTCACTATAAAGCGATAGAATTTTTATTTAATCAGCACAAGAGGTTCTAATCTAAAAATGGCCAAAAAATGGGGATAATTATTTTTCTCTTCTACTATAATTGTATCGAACTACCTGTTCAACGTTGCAACGATATAGAAAACTTTCGTTATCAAGTCTGGAGAAAATTCCTCCTGTGATTATTTCTATGATTTAAAAAAATTGCGAACTCTGGGGAGCTAATATTCGTTTTCAACTATAAGCGAGAAAAGTTCTGGAACTTGCGAAACTTCGGGGAGAACTTTTAAGAATCGCATAATGCTGGCGATTCGCTGCGTTATCTCTGTGCACACATCTTTCTCTGCAGTATCAAATCTTTTTTCGTTGCAAAACGGATAATACGGAGCAAGGTCGGATTCTTTTATTTCTCAAACGTCAAATTCGCTCGTTCGTCTTATTCGTCGATGTACATTTGTCAAACGCTGTGTCAAATCTCACGACCGTTTCGCCATCTTGAAGATTTTCACCAATTTGAAAAAATACACTTTTCCTTCGTTTCCATAGGTAATTGAAATGCAGAATAATTTGTTCCGTTGTTCGACAGAAATAAACATTACTGTGTTTTCAATTTTCACTTGTTACAACGAATTTATTATTTTGATTAATTAACTTCAATAATGATACCGCTTTTACGCGTAAACTATGACTTTAATGCGGCCGCGTAATATTCATTGTTAATATAAATGCAAGAATAATCGATGAATATTCAAATTTCATCCCCTCGAAAACCAAGGCATATTATGAAAAGGCTCGTTTAATTACTTCTGTATAATGAATCATCCGTTTTTCACTTTTCCTGCGATTTTCTATACGGCAAATAATAACACGGTTCGTTTATTATTTAATTGTAACGTAAAAAAAAAAGTAGAATAATTTTAAAACAATCTTGTAATTTAAAAAAGAAAGAATATGTTTCTCTAATACGAAATCATGGCATTTTACGATTATTCGAAACAGAAGTATATCTGTGATATTTTATTAAACTTGAACAATTAAAAAATTGAGAAATTTCAATTGTCTCTCTGTGAAAAATTTTAAACCACGTAAATGCCTCTGCGTGAAACATAAAACGAATTTTCCTCGATGCGGAAAAAACTGCAATCTGAATTGGAGCAATCCTGAAAGCACATATAGGTCAAGAAATGCGTGAATTCGAGCTACCCTAACCCACATACGAGCCATTTTACGTCAAATTGTCCACTTTCTGCCACTATGTCATCGATTTTCTTCTTTTTTTTTTTTTTTTCCGAAACTCATCAGCACATTCGCTGGCAAGCACAGGAAACCGTAAAAATATCGGTCTCCTGTGTTGAACGGTTTGCAAGGTATCAAATATGAAAGTATCGAAAAATCGGGTATGTAAAAAAATAAGCTGGCTACCGATTTACTTTAGTTTTATCTACCGAGGGAAACCGCCGGTTCATATTGCTTTCGATTTGATCATTAAGCTAAATTTTCATAAAACGCGAGTCAAAAATTGAGAAAAAAAGAACAAAGTATAAAATAAATTGAATAAGAAGGAAAATTTAGGAATAAGCTGTAACAAGAAAAAAGTTTCATTAGTAAAATATCAATTTTGATCGAACGTTAAATTGAAAAATAAGAATATACAAGAAGGATTAAAAACGAGGTGCATATTGATTTCTCTCAAGTCTCGAAATAATTTTGCAGTATTTCGAATGAAAATAAATTTATTGATTTTACGATAGGAATTTGTAATTGGTAAAGATCTATGCTGTTATACCTAAGTTCTACAAGAAGGTAGAGTGTGAATAGGATGGTCAAGGTCTACTAGCTAACCTATGTCCACTCCTATAAGAGTGGACCAGCCTTTTCACATCTCGGAACCTTCAGGTGTGAATTACGCGGTGTGTCTAAATAGTTCCGTATGCAAAAGGCAAATGATTTCGCGGCGGAACTAAAGACGTCATCAAGGACAGGCAAACCTCGACTAATTACTCCTGAAGAATCCTACGTTTCTGTTCTAATACCGTGTAACGTATCAATTCTGAAATTTTTATTACATATTTATACTTGGAATAATTTACTCAATCATCACTCGTACATTTTTACAACTTTCTTCGATAAAAAACTGTTTTAATGTTTCTGTTACTTTTTCGTGGAGAGACTACGTTCGCAAGGATTGAAAATCAGGTTCACCTGTGGTCAACGATAAAAATAGCCATAGTAAGGCTAAAATTATTACGCGAAGTAATGTTTTATAGAAATTAGAAGTTTGTTCATCGTGAAATAATTTGTATCGTACATTTTCTCAATTTACACGATATTTGTCAGAATTGAAAATTAAATTGACCTGTGGTCATCCACTGAGAATAGCCACAGTGAGGGTAAAATTATGTTCGATAATTGTTCATAGAAATTAAAATTTTATTTAACGTCCGTTTGTTACGATACTTAGAAAGAATTTATATCTTTCTTCTTTTATTCTAAATTTTAAGTTCCATTTACATGTTACAACGATTATAACAGTCTCACGCTGTTCCTTCTGTGAATTCTGTATTTAGATGTGATTTAATATTGCAACAGAGTTCGTATGCCGACCCATCGGAATTTTAGAAAAATTAGAGTGAAATAGGAAATTATTTTGCCTCTGTTTTTTCACCAAATCGAGATACGATGCAAATAACATCCTTATAACTTAGACATTTATCATCAAGTCTGCCTCTTCCTTACGTAAATCTATTAACAATGCTTTTTAAACATTTAATCCTTGTGTAGGTAATCAAGTACTGTATTTTCCTTTAACAATTTTTCACGTTCTTGCGAAAGTACCACAAAATCCCTCCTAGTCCCCACTTTTCAAAAATTTCTACATCTGTAAACATTTCCAAAGTGAAAACTTATGCAAAAGATTTCAAACAACCGTGAACCATATCCAACAACTAAATTTCAGCAAATTACAAAGTTGCCTCCCTTTTCAGCAAACTTCAAAGCTGCCGCAAATTCTTCAATTATCGCGATTAATAGCACTCGTTTCCACACCGTGTACCTTCTCCTCGTAAAAAAAAAGAAAAATGCAAAAATCTTAAAAAAAAAAACGAAGAAAACAGGTGCCTGAAAATTTTTTCTAAACTAATTCAAACTAATTCATCCTTTCCTAAAGCATAAAGCTCGACGCGAGCAAGCAAAGTCGTCGCGCTGTAGCGACGTCGTCGAATCAAGGAGTCCCGCATAGGTTTCCAGTAGGGTTGGAGAAGAAGGAGTAAGCCAGCCGATTGCAGGTTCGAAGCTTCGAATAGCGGGCCGTTGAACGGGTTGCAGTGGCTGCAGGGCCGGCACCGCGACGCCTCGAAGCGTCGTTGGCCTCTGTGTTGCGCGCGATTCGCGTGGCGGCTTCGCTCGATACCCGCTGCGGCAAAAGCATCTGGTCCCGCTGGTAGCGGCGGCACCCATTGCCAGCTGGGTGGTGGGAGCAGCCTCTGTTTTATTTCTGTCCCGGCGGTGTCCCTCTGCACCGGCTAGATCCAACAGAGGAACGCAATCGTCCGCGCGCGTCGCGTTCTCCAAACGAGAGACACTCCGTGTTGTGTACGGAACAGAAGACAAAAAGAAGATCCTCTTCTCTTGGTCCCCCGGCTTGGTTCACTTTACCGATCTCTCTCACCTCCTTCTTCCGCGTCTTCCAACATGGAGGACAGTTACACGGTGCACAGGCGTCGCAAGGCGGCGGCGAGGAGGCGCGAGAAAACGCCGGACCCGGCATCGAGGAACCAACAGCTGGTGGAGACGTCAGATGACGAGGAGGGAACGAGGAGAGCTAGAATGGAGCGGATGGCCGAGGACGCCGAAAGAACCGAGCTAGAGGAGCGGGAGAGAAAGAGGAAGTTGGAGGAGCAAAAGGTGGAGGAGGAGAGAAAGGGTACGATTAAGGTTGAAGAGATCGCTGGTGGTAGGAAGAAGAGTTCGCCGTTGAAGGAAGCATGTGAGAATGACGCGGAAGCTCGGTCGGTAAGGAAGGAAGCTACTAAAATAGAAACAGGAAGTCCCGCGAAGGAGGAGACGAAGAGCGGCGAGGTGTTGGCTAAGGAGAGGTATCAGGATGCTATACCTAAGTCGAAAGAGATCGACGCTGATCAACCTGCGGAAGGACCGCGCAAGGTGGAGAGACGATTGAAGAAGAAATCGAAGGAACGTGTGGAGAAACACGGACAGTCTACGGATTCCAGCGACACCGAAGAGATAGACAAGCATACGAGAAGAACGAAATCGCCGGAAGGAGGTAAGGTTAGAGCGAAGAAGAGTAGTTCGAAGAGAATGGTCACTGACGAAACTGACGCTAAGAAGGACGCCGTTGAGAAACCTCCGCGGGAGAAGAAGCCGAGTAAACAGAAGGTGGAGGAAGCGGAGGTGACGGTGAAACCGGAGAGAAGACGTTCCAGGAGATTCAGCCAGACGGACGACACCGACGAGGATCCGAAAATGAAGAAGAGCGAGACGTTCCCTAAACAGACCACCGAGGAGATCGTGATGAAGAGATCGTTGTCGGACGTGAAGAAACAGATAATTCCGTTGAGCAACGAGAGTCTTATCCAGGATTTCGCCAAGGCGCAGCAGGAGTATCTGAAGAGAGAGCGTAGTATCCTCGATCCTGAAACTCTGGACGTCTACGACGACGCTCGAGAGGAGACTGTGTTGAGAAGAAGAAAATTCAGCATGCCTCTGACGGAGACGGAGCAAGATGCCGTCGAGAAATCTATAGAAAAATCGAAGGAACCGGAGAAGAAGAGATCCTGGTTCTCCTGGCTTCCTTTCTTCCGCAAGAAGGAAAAAGTCGAAGAGGAAGAACCGAAGAAAGTCGTCGAACCACCGAAACGTACGGAAACAAAATTCGTAGAGATATCGAAGCTGGAGAAGGTCACTTTCATGGACTTCCTGCGAGCGCTGAGAGACGTGGTCGCTGAATTCAAGGCTTTCGTTGCGCAAAATCCGCGCGAAGCTCGAACAATGAGATTGTTGAGGAATCGTTGTCTGTCGGAACTGTTGCTGGTCATGATCTACTGCGGCTTAGGCGCGTTCGTCTTCCGGTTCACCGAGGGAGCATTCGAGACGTTCTACAAGTGCGGCGTGAAACGGGTGAAGCGAGATTTCCTGGACAATTTGTGGAACTACAGTCACAATTTGAAGGAGGAAGACTGGAAGAGCATGGCTCGCCGGAAGTTGATGGAATTCGAGGAACAGCTGCACAACGCGCACGAGGCCGGTCTTCATAGTTACAGCGGTCAAAGAAGCTGGAGCTTCTTGAACGCTGTGGTTTACTGTTTGACCGTCATAACCACTATCGGTGAGGACAGGTCGAGGATGAATCCTGAGGTGGAGGAAACAGTGGATCGATATGGATGAAGTGACGGTTGTCGTAAAACGTTTTACGAGTTCCGTATTGATTTTCCAAACTGACGGATATATAGTTAACCGCGTCGAGGAGATTCTTTGGCCGGTGTCGAAGTGCGCACGCGTATCACGGTAGCGGTGAAAATTTTCAAAAGACGCCGACACTCGAATGATTCCTCGACGCGGCGTCGTTGCGTGGACACGCGACGATTTCGCACAAGTTTCAGGAATATTTATGATCTCTTATTAAGTGAATATCACCGAGAGCTCAATATTCGGAATGATTCTGATCCTTTTGAGTTTCTTAATTACCAAAAGAAAGCTTCCTTTTCCACGAGATTTTAATTATCCATGGATCGACGATTTCGCAGAGGTTTCAGAGGTCTCTCTCGTTAAGTGACTTTTGAATGAAAATCACCGAGAGCTCAATTTTTGGAATAATTTTGATCCTTTTGAGTTTCTTAATTACCAAAAGAAATCTTCATCTTCCACGAGATTTTAATTATCCATGGATCGATCACTTTAAGTGACTCTCGATCCTGAATATCACCCGAAGCCCAATTTTTCAGTAATTTTCATCCCTAATCTGTCACGAGGGTTCGTCATCGATCGATAAATCTCTCGATGAGTGATAATTACTGGAGGAACGAGTTTATTAAACGTAGTCGACGAGGAGAAAATGAAGTTTGTCAGGGATTTAGACGATCCATCTTGTAAATATTGTTTCAGATTAGAATTATTCGTGTGAACGACTGGCTTTCACAGAGTGGCTCTATTATCAGGTTCCATCATCGAAGCATGCGACTAGTTTACGAGCAAACAACCGCCAAATTGTACCACTAAAACGGCTAAAGTTAGACCGAATGCCACCGCGTATTTAGTATCTGCCCGGTTATTTTTGGTCCTATAGAAATATAGTATAGTGCAGCGAGTTCGAATCCCTCTTAAAAGTCCCTCCAATCCACGTTTATTAACCGAAAACATGAATCATATCTCTGACGATTCTAAAGAACAGATTCCCTCCCTCTATTTATGTGTGCGTCTGTGTGTGTAAGTACACGATTAAGAATTGCTCGCGCGCTATTTTCAGGATACGGCCACATTTCACCGAGTACCAACACAGGAAGAGCCATCACAATCGTTTACGCTATCTTCGGTATCCCGATGTTTCTGATAATACTGGCTGACTTTGGCAAGTTGTTCACACGTGGTATCAAGTTCCTCTGGGCGTTTGTGAGGAGGCTATACTATACCGGAAGTTGTCGTAAAGTTCGTCGAACCGTACCTGTCCAGGTAAGAATCTCTTTGCACACATTTTTCTTTCAGAGAACTTGAAAGTTTGATAGAAAAAAAGGAGAAAAAATGCTTGTGCGTGTAATTAAATATTGGATTGTTCGGAAAGTTCGTAGCAAAATTTAAACCATTGTGTCTATGTTTCTAATTGACATAAATAGTAATAAAAGTTAAACGGTATTTTTCTCGACAGTTAACCCTTGGACAGTTTGTCCCAAGCGAGACTAGGGCAGTGCGTTAAATAACGAACAGTTTTACTCAAGAGAGACTCTTGGGAAGAAAGTTAGAAAGAGACGAGATATTGTTATCAGGACTATGACGTAGGGTTGTGTGCACTGTGCCTTAAAAATAATCGCACACGACGTAATTATTAAAAAAATAAAATACGAATTTTATTCACCCTAATTCATAATTATATCAGACTGTCAAAGGGTTACCCCTTTTGTTACTATTGGCGCCTATAGGTGTTTTGAAAATTTGCTCGCACTACATTGTTGGAGCCTTTTGGTGCACTTCCACCTTAATTTAACACTTAATTTCATGCTTCATACACTCCCATCTTAATTTAATAAACCTACTTTTAAAACGATACGGCCAAAATAACAAATTTTGCAGCCATGGTTAAACATTTACCGTCGGTCAAACACGTTACGCATTAAAATCTGCCGTAGCGAAAGGGTTAAAGGTGAAAATAAGATGAACAGGGATGGATATAAGTCGAATGTTGAATTTTTCGGGTCAACGCTCCACCGTAGAAGCTACAGTTCGCCTTGGGACTAATTTCAGGGGATTTATCTTCCAATAACGAGTAAAACACCTTTCGGCTTTTGTCGTTATCTCAGTTAGAAACAGAGATACGACGGTTTCAATTTTTCCTACATTTCGCTACGAACTTTCCGAACCATCTGATATATCTCGTAAATGAAGAGATAAACTGGTGACACAAGATTCTTATTTATCTACATAATTCCACCTGTTACACTTGGCTACAATTAAACAGCGATGAATATACATACGACTCGCAACATTGCCTCTCCTATATGTACTACACGATTGATCTCTTCTCCTATCTTTCGTTTCAGATTGCAATTTCCTGTTCCATGAATTGAAATTGTATTAATTATTTCTCCTACCTGCCTCTACGTTCCTGCTCGTTACACTTGTTACACTTGCCACCAATCGGACAACAAGTAGAAATTCGTTAAATACATCAAACTAACTAACTTTCATCTCAGCTTATATCCCAATTAAAGCGACAATACGAATTCGTCAAATACACCTAACTAAGTCAACTTTCATCCCGTCCTATATTCAAGACTACAACTTGTTATTCATACTTGGTATTACAATATCCTGTCCCTCTCAATTAAAATCATTTCTGCTCTACTTCCGTACCGACAATTCCACTCGTCACCCATTTGTCGCGACCAAACGTCACCACGAATTCGTCAGATACACAGGTACTTCTCGCTTTACGAATTTTTATTTTAAATTCCACGGAGAATCACGCGGTATCTACGTAACGACGCGATTCTTCGCGAATTCACGGCCGCCAGGAACCAATTAATTCGTAAAGGAACTACAGACTCTGGCGAAAAAATTAGGGTCATTCATGATTTTCAACATCTTTCGTGTTTTGACGATATACGTAAGTCGTTGTTGTTTTATTACATATCTGTATGTGGACGGAGATCTCAGTACGTGCAGGATGGGAATCAGAATTTCTTTAACCCCTTGACGTATGATTTCTTTTCCTGACTATGGATCTAAGTAAGAGAAGCTAGTGTATCGTAGATTAATCAAATTTGGCAATCTTCAGTTTCATAAATTAAATCGAAAATTCGAATTGAAATTCATTTTTCTTACCGAAACAACTGTTTTTGTCAGATCTTGACCAAAATCTGTGGCACGAGTCTGACTCTAATAAAAATTATTATTAATTACGTTCAAGCCTTTAACCCTTATGTCACTAACCACAATTGTCATCTACTTTATCGTCCAATTTCAGCACTTTTCTAATAACAAAATTCTGAACTTAAGGCGAACACGGATAGGAAACGTGCGAAATAACGATCTGGTCGGATATTTCAATCTTTTACCTGGAAGATCAAATATTTTAAGTGAGAATTATGCAAAAGGGTACCCGGTTATAGACATAAGGGTTAAAAATTGATTAAAAATACGAAAGATGTTGAAACTTCTGAGTGACCCTAATTCTTTGACTCTACACCTGTCCCCACCTGTTTAACTTTCATCTACAATTTCACATGTCACCTTGTTAAAAATGTTCAATCGAGAACAGGAGGTGATGAAAGGCGTGCAATTGGTGTACGACCTAGCAACGTTCAAAGGGCCGTCGCAGATCAATCCAGAGAATATCGAGGAGATGCAGAAGCAGGCGCAGCAGTCGCAAACAGTGATGAATTTGGACGGGAACGTGCCGGATTCACCAGGAACACCGGCTATGTCCGCGTTCGCCGTAGACGACGAATTCAATCTACCAATCTCCGTGGCCATTTCCATTCTACTCGGTTACATCTTCATCGGGGCGACTTTGTTCTGCATGTCGGAGGGTTGGGGCTTCTTCGAGAGCTTCTACTTCGTCTTCATCTCCATGAGCACTATCGGCTTCGGCGATTACGTGCCAAAGGTGATCATTCCTCTTCGTCTATTCGTCGATTTTATAATTTTTAATATCTCTTCTTGCATCACGCTCCACTCATTTCTGCGCCCCTAGAAGACGAGGTAGATTTCGTCGCTGTAGATTTCCGCGAAGAGGAACGTTCGTTGCGATGTTTACATTGTCGTTAGAGAACTCTGATTATCGTCGATATCGATGAAACTTTCGTGTGCGATAGTACTCGAGGAAATATTCGACACGTATTTTTTTTTTATTGGAAATCGTTTGTATCGGAGAGGTGAAATTCGGCTTGAAAGATGAGAGGAAATAAATATGGTTGGTTGAAATTGTTAATTTTTTTATTTTCCAAATTTGTTGGTGAGAAATAGGAAATTCGTCAATTTATACTGTTCTTCTATCTTTAACAGTTTTCGAGATATTAATTTCGAGATGTTTGGCTATCCTCAACTTTGAGCAAGATTTTCACACCTTCGCCGTGAACGATTCTCGATATAAAAAAATAGGTGTCGAATATTTTTTTGAGAACTACTGTGTACCAAAGTTTCGTGAAAATCGGTGATTTTTTTCTTATCAGTTGTGTAGTAAAATTGAAGAGAATTTTCAGCGAAATTGGGTGATTTTTTATTTTTTCTACGTGAAATTTCCTGAAATTTCTTCGATTTTTTTCTATGCAACGTAATACCGGTAAGGTAGATCACAATTTTTCGAAATGATCTTTCTTTTCGTCACAGTCGATCCAGAACGTTTCCCTTCAGATGGTATGTTCTTCGATTTTCATTTGCGATTAGCGTTTGCTTTGTATTACAACCGATGGAATGTTTCCTCCTCCACTTTCCAACGTGAAAAGGAACAAATTCTTCCTTCTTCTGTGAGCAATCACGACGACGTATGATTAACTAAGTTTTTTTGCTTCTTTCTTTCACGGTGGCGTTCAGATGGTAAGCTTTGAAAATCAAAAAGTTCATCAACAAAACAGACAAAAACAAAAACAAAAAAAAATGATAGAGAACAATATCCGAGAAAAACAAAAAAAAAACATGTACATCACCGTTCTATACACTATTTCGTACGTGCTTTTCGCATAAGTCTCACTTCAGCACAGTTGCACGTGTTTTCTTAGCGAGATTACAAAAAAAAAAAAAACTGCCCGATGACAGAATTCACTAGCGAAAAATTAACAGATTGATTGGTTGGTTGATCTAGCATCCCATATACATGATGTGTTCGATAATATACCTGGTGTTCGGCCTGTCTCTCACGTCCATGTGCGTCAACGTTGTACAGGTACGAGTCTCTTTATTTACAATTTACCTCACGCCACTTTTCTTCCATTATACGTTCGATATTTTCTCTCACTCGATACCAGAGGCAGTTCTTTCAAGTTTCATTCAGAATCTTGAATTTCTCGTACGAAGTGAAAATATGAATAAATAATCAGGAAGAAAAGTTAATAATTAAGTTAAGATAAATTAACTCTCCTAGTAACAACGAGAAAATCTGAATCTATAGGGGGTGGGATTTAAGTATTGTTATGTTTTAATGTATTCATTGGGTTTCTAGGGAATTTCTCAATCTTACCTTTTTTCAGAGAAATTTTTCATGAAAATTAGACTCAGTATTTTTAACATATGTTTTCCTATCTCTCTTATTAACCGTTTAACAATAATCCGATGACATAAATAACTGCACTAAAGAGACAAATCTAATTTCAGAGCGTCTCAAATTTGCAGCCAGCACAGTAACCTATCTTACTTTTCCAAAATACCACAGCTTATTCGAGATATCATACAAATTATTACCCAACTGTATTACAAACATTATTATCCAGTTACAGTCTCAGTACATTAGTTCATAATATTATTTATTTTCCAATTTTTATTCTATTTTACTACATTCTTACTCTTCACGTTGTTTAATTTTATTTTTTTTTTTTTCAATTTATTCCATTGTTTCTCACTTTCTTTCCTCAATTTATTATATTCGATTATTTGCTTTTTCTCTTTTCTATTTGTAATATACAGAGTGTGCGACAAATAGTGTGACAAGCTATTTTCCTCAAAACTACCGAAGACATCAACTTCGTATATTCTATAAATTAATTATGTAATTAAAGTGTAACAAATTTTTCTGACGACTTTTCTGAAGTATTTAATGTGAAAAAAAAAAAGATTTAAGTCAATATCTACCGTAGTTTCGAAGAAAACAGCTGCTTAACGCTTCATTTAATCCACCCTGTATATTACATATTGTAATCAGTTTTTACACTCGTAAATAAATAACTAAATAATACATCTGTACACCTGGCGATCGAACTGTGCCACAGGTGATGCTCTCAGACACGTTCAAGAAAGCAAGTGAGAAAATTGGCGCTACGATCGGTTTCGAGATCCCCGAGGAGGACGGTTCGATGAATCCAGCGGTTCCTCCACCTGTAGAAGTTGCAGACGTCCACGCAGTCGTCAAGGAATCCGAGAGCGACGAGAAGATCGCGCCTAAAGCCAAACAGGAGGACGTCGACTTATAGAAACTTACCGAAGAAAAGCAACAACAAAAAAAATATAAAAAAAAGAGGAAAAACAAAAAGTATAGCTAAGAATTATTCGATCGATCGCTGCGTTCGCACAACGAGCACCACAAAAGCACCAGAAGACGTCTCGTTCTCGTCACAGCGGCGAATCATGACGAGTGGAAAAGAAACGAAATCGGCAAAAAAAAAAGAAAAAAAAAAAGAAAGAAGAAAGAACTACACGCATACACTACGAAATCGGTGCTTCAGTTTACGAAAACCGTTTCAACACAGTCATCCTAAACGAATTCACACGAACAGGATTTTAGATTCGCGCGTTTCTGGTCGGTATAGAAATGACCGACCATAACCTCCTCATGGAACACACGGGAATCGGTTGCTAAGAAAAACGTAGGATTCTCGCTGGCTGCACAGTACTAGGCCGCAGAAAACGCACCTGATTTTCAATTCCTTCGTGTCTGGTATGAAACCACCTTTGGAGCATCTTCTAACAGTGGATTTTTCGTTGTTGTTGAAGCTAATAACATGCGACACATTGCATTGCAGTCGGTTTTGCGACCGACGGAGAAACTCGAGGGGTTCGTGATCGTTGAAGAATTTTTATGTTTCGATTCCTCTGACGAGGGCAAATTGAGACTCTGTTTTTTTGAGGATTAATTAGGTTCTGTGCTGCGTGGATTATTGGTGATCCATAAGTTTTGTTGTCCATAAGAGTGATTAATTGAACATTGAATTTTTTTGTTAAAATCACCTGTAACCTTAAATGTTCGTTTCAGTTTGAAGCACAATTTTCATTCTTCTTTGAAAAATTTGACATTTCGTATTACATGAATTTAATTGTAAAAGAAAATTTCAACTTTTTGAGGCAGCTTTAAAGTTTAAGTTAATTTTCACGCGGCACGGAACGTATTAGTATTCTTTGGCAATTTGAATGAGTTTGTGAGTGTGTTTGATACTCGAGAGTTCCGTTGAACCTTCATTTGCGCTTGCAATCATAAACTCCTGGCTTACAGTCGAAATTCTCGAAAAATTCGACACCTGAATCGCCACGAACTCGTATAAATTATACAATATTACACCGAAAATATTCTTGTCGAACGAGTGATACAACACCGCGAACGAAATCTTATCGTTCGTAACTATATAAACAGTCAACTATTATAAGCGTAACACAAGAAAAAGGATTTACAATTCTTTTTAATTGAACGATAAGGGAAAACATATATGACGACCCAGCAGCTGCAATTTTTCCAAACGATTCATAGGCCAGACACAACAGTTGCGATTTATTTTTCGTAGTCTAGTGTCTGTCGACAATAAACACAATCTCGTACTTTGTATATTTTGTAGATTATCGTGTCACTGTCTTCGGTTTCTTTTTTAAGTTGTTTTTATATTATGTATAACGTGAAACTTCGAACAAACACTGCTATACCGACCGAGCTTCCGGTTTCTGAACTATGTTCGAACGTTTCGTTTGTAATAAAATGCGTGATCTTATTTTTTGAACGACCCTCCGATTGTATTCTTAAAACACACGCGTAAGAATATGCAGACGTTTATTTTTATTCGACGACATTAGCCTACGATGCAGCATTTTCCAATCTGTAATATAGTTTGTCGAGTTAAAAGTCGATGATATTTATATCAAATCTATTATAAGAGTACGCCACAAATGTTACATTTATATTCTAAATACGTAATTGATTTAGTTTTTAATATAATCAATTAATTTGGTTAAATATTCATAAAATAATGCAATTCAAAATGGACCACCTTTTACGCATACTGGTTTTGAAGTAACGAAATTGTTACTAATTTATTTTTAGTAAAATAACAGAAGCTACTGTACTTTTTAACTTACATAATCATGATCAATTAAAATAGTATTGTCTTTTCTATTTTTTTCTACCTATTATGTAACATTTATTGAAAAAAATGTTCACTTTTCAAAGTTTAATAGACATGTAGATTAGAACAATTATTATAAATATTCATGCTCACAAAAATTTGTTTTTTTATATGCTTAAGGAAAGAGAGAATTACCAATTGATAGCTCAATCGGTAAAGCAGTTATCCAGCAAGCGAAAAATTTTCTCTTCGCCACAATAGTTGTTAAAATTTTCAAATATCGATTTTAGAATGACAAACACTGTTATAATAAAAAAAGAAAAGTGAAAGTAAGTATGTTTGACGATCGAGCCGGAGGGTCAAAGTAAATTTTCGTCACGGGAAGAGGAAGGAAACTTGTGCCTTTTTAAGAATGAACTGTGTTAGCTATTTACATTTTATCAGATACGATAAAAATTCCTGTAACGCGGTTAAATTATAGAAACAGAGAATGAAAAATATATATGGCGTATACTCGTTGCTACTCAAGCGGCAAAAATATACTTCTTCTTTCCTACAGTTAAAAAAAGAAAAAAAAATTGTATGGCAGATCGCTTAGTGTCTATACAGTGTCTTTGCAATTTTATTACACGTTATAAATTCACATAAAAGAAAAAATTGAAATAGGCGAAGAAATTGCTTATCGGTAGCGAGTACTTATTATTACTACAATCATAATAATAACATCATTATAAACTTTATTTACGAATAAATGTTTAAGACATTGGGATTCTTTCATCTGCGTTTCAACCACCTCCTTCACACATGAAACTAACATGGCAGATAATGAAATATTTCTATCAAAACATCTAATTACATATTTTTTTACGTAAAAACAATTCTTTCTAGAATAAGTAATATTTTGGAACTGATAACGTATTTATCAATGGAGAAAGAATTTACTTTTATCTAAAAGTTCATTGTGCTTGTTAACAGTAAAACATCGAGAAATAAATTATGTGCATATAATTAAATATTTTTCGTTTGTTCATCTCATCATTTCACCACAAGTGTATTATAATATACTTATTCATACAATTAAAGATTTAATAAAATGATAGATTTTGCAGTATTGACTTTTAATGTTTAAAAATAATGGAAAACGTATTTTAAGTGATAAAAGATAATATTATTATTTGTTTTTCATTTGTAACGAATTCCCAAATATGTTGACCAACTATTAGTCTCATTTTTTAAGGTAATAAACGATATATGTTAACGTTGGTAGCATTGACTGTCAGACGATAAACGAAAATTCGCTGCATGTTCACAAAACATCAAAATGGCCAAAGAATGACAACATACGGCTGTCAGTTGGAGGAGAAAGTTGATATTTCAAAGAGAAACAAGGGAAAATGTCTCACATTCAGTATGTGGACGAAATGGTCAAGGAATACCTGCTCTTCAGAGGTTTTAGTCAAACCTTGAGAGCTTTTGACAACGACTTGAAAGCCGAGAAAGAAAAGGGGTTCAGGGTGAGCGTAAAAGAAATTATGATATAAAGAGTGAGAGAGATAGAAATAGAGAGAAAAGAAAGACAAAGATAAATGAAAACAATGCTTACGAATATCATTTATTTAAAAACTGTAGTGTTTACATTTTCACAATTTCAAATAGATTTATTGTTATTTATCCAGCTCTGTATTGCAAAGATTTAATTCCTTCTTAATGAAAATTTTTCATTTTTTTATCAGGTTGATAAAATCGTCGATCAATTAATGCAATACATATATAATTATGATCTACAATCCTTAAGAGAATTATGGGGACATTTGGATACAAGAATGTTCTCCCGCTTGGAAAGTCATTTTACACCAGCTGTAAGGAAGCTGGAGAATAATGTTCTAAAAATGTACCTGGTCAATGCAGCTGTGAACAATAAGCAGGATCGGATTCAAGAGTTTTTTACAAAAATGACACCAGAGCTGCAAGGGCATTCAGAATGGAAAGAATGGTTTGGTAGGATATTCTCTTTTATTATCTTTTATTTATAAGAATTCTAAGAAAACAGTACTACATATTTTATTTATCTTTTTTATCATTTCAGCATTGCCATTTGTTAAAAATCCTGAAGACAATCCAGCATACTCTGTATATTTTAGTAGACAGTGGCAAGACACTATGTTAGTGTCCTTGCACAATTTCCTTGCTACTATTTTTCAAGTAGGTGAAAGGTATTTTGCATTGTGCCTCTATATTACATGTTCCACAATTGCAATCTTGTATAGAAAAATATCAATTACAAGTTATGATGGACAAAGATATACTTTTACATTCATATACCTAACTACATAGTATATAACTTAATTTTTTGATTCTTACTAATTACAGTGTATGCCTCAGCCAACATTACTTACAATAGATGAAGATACAAATAGATTGAAACGACTTCAAGAAGAAAATGAAGCATTAAAGCAACGTCTAAGCGAATCTGTTAAGATAGAAAATGTAATGGATGTAAATCCAGGATCAGCTCCACAACATCCACCACTCATGGATGACTTTTATATTATAGCACAGTAAATATTTTCATCTACCGTTGCATGTCAAAAGTAAATAATTCTATTATATTAACCAATCACTAACATTTCTTCTTACTACTTAAATAGAGAATCTCCTTTATTAGAAAATCCCAAAACTCTAAGAAACCTCATAAGAAATATAGGCGGCGGTTCCAGTCCAATTTTAAATCGAAAACCCGGAACAAGTATAAAGAAAGTTGTGGAGTCGGAAGTAACGTCGACGAAAAGAACTAATACGAAAGGAAAATTGAACTCAATTAGTAAGTCTGAACCGGTCAGCAAAAGAAGCATTAGCTGCGATTCAAGATTAACAAGTTCTAGGAAAAGGGATTCATCTATAGACGCGGTAGCTGAACGAAAAGCGAAAGATAAAATTGATTCTACTTATATTCTTCTTAGCCAGGTGAAAAATTGTTTGCTCGTAATTCTTTAATTTTATATAACAAAAAATTACTTCCAGGAAGAATATACGGAACACAGAACATCAATAATTCAATGTAAAAGTAATGCAAGTGGTTCGTACGTTGCTACAGGTGATGCAAATGGCATTATCAAAGTGTGGACTCCCATACCATCGCCAGAGTAATTATTTGGAATATTTACAATATTACTTAATGTTACTGAATTTTGTTAAAATTTCATTAAATTTAATTCTATTATGTTTTTTTTCATTAAATAGGACTGTTAGTACATTTATCTCTACCCCAGCAAACTCAAATAAAGCTATTACGGCATTAGACTGGGTATCAAAGAACGAACGTTATTTTTTACACGGTGATAACAATGGTCGGATTCAATTGCATGATACTCGCGATTGCAAAACCCTGTGGGACATTCAACATGTAGATGCTCGAATTACTACTTTACTATGTAATCCGACAGAATCTACGTTCGTGTGTTCTGTATCAAAATCGTACATAAAGAAACTGTTGTTGTACGATATAAAAACGAGAAAGTTAGAAAGAAGATTGCCGATGGATCAAAACGTGACCGTCCTATGTTCCACGTTTAATCGTAATGGGCAACTTCTTATCACGGGGCTATCCAATGGAAATATTTTAATATACGATTTGAGACAGAACGAAATTATTGATAATATAAGTTGCCACTCGAGTCCAGTTATTGATATAGAACTAATTAACGACTATCCGAATATCTGTACGCAAAGCGAGGACGGAAAACTATGTCAAAGGAGTTTAAACCATTCGGGAAAAATTTTATGGGAAACAAAAATTGAAGTAGAGAAAAATACGGTTCATGGGAAATTGTTTACTTTTGACCAAAGTGGTAATTATATGCTACTCTGTACACAAACTGGAGGAAATATATACAAAGTACGTAACTTTCTTTATATTTATTGACACTGAGATTCTTGTAATTTTTTTGTACAAATGGTACTAAATATAAATTTTTAGATGCCACCAGGTGCACAAGCAAAAGTTTTAGAATTAGGCGGACACAAAGGTACGTTGTGTTGCGACTGGTCTACTGCCAATCAATCTGGAACTTGTATAACTGGTGGTGCGGAAGGGAAAGTACGAGTATCGACGCTGCTTTCGCCATGATGCAAAAGCAAGATTAGTATCTGTGTGAATTCATGAAGTACTGTAAAGTTCATAAGATTAGCTCAAATTTGTAGATACTGAATATTTAGCATAATGAATGTTAAGAACAAACTTCATAGTCATTATGTTGGATAATGAAACCTAAGAGTATCCCATTTAAAGGACATTCAAAGTATCATAAGATTTAAAAAAAGATCCAAATATTTTATAAAGAGTACAATGAATGCAAACGTATCATGCGTTAGCGCAAAGTCGAATGTATTATAATCCTATCTTTAAAATGGAATCAGGGACTATCAGTTATAAAATGTACAGAAAATATTGTAATTGTAAAGAAAAGGATACATAAGATATCTATAAATGTCGCGTTAATTAATAGGACACATGACCGGAAGACTTTGTAAAAAAAAAGGAATAAAATTCTACTGATTTGTGTAGCGATTGCCATGTGTACACCTAATGCTAGAAATTTAAGCTACATCTGTAAGAGATACAGGAACTTGTCAATAAATATTGGTCAATTTTAAAATACCTGTGTATTGTTTTAACTTAATGTGTATAAAGCTTAAACTTTAACGAAATATTACTGTAAAATACTGATCGCTTTTTTGTACAGGATAACAAAATACGTATTTTGCTTGCATTATTTAATTAATTCTTACCCTGTTTATTTATCTTAACAGGATAGGAGCTTTAAGTGTGGTTTTCTCATTGACCATCTATTAAATGGGCCTGTCATATCTAATTGTGGAGACCAATACCGTCTGAGAGCTTCAATTATTTCTGCAGGTGTTATGGATTTTGTTGCAGCAACCTGATTAATTTCAAAAGAAAAATATAGAATATTCTTTTGGCATTCCAGAATTTTATAAAAATATCACAAACCTTGCCATGATAATATGGTTTATAAGTGTAGGGATTAACATAATTAAGCCTAAGTCGATCTATAGCATCTCCATAAATTTTACTTTGGTCTTGTCTCACTAATAATGCAAAGTCTACAATTTGTGCTACTGTTTCATATGCTAAATACCCCAAAATTGTATATGCTTGTTTTGATATTATTATATCACCTAAATTACATCAGAATGCATTTAACATATAAACTGATATTGCTATTACATATAACATATTTTAGTACACAAAACTCACTGTCTGCTGCTATCCAATCACTAAATTTATGTCGATTTTTATTTGCAAATGATGCATTACGTGCTTTACTGAATTTTAAATATCTAGCTTCATCCATAGATCTACTCATAATTTCAGCACGAATACACCTTTGTTGTTTGATTTCATCTACAGTAGATGCATCCTCAAGAAGTTCACCAGTATTGTCAATTTGACTAAAAAAATTATGCAGTGGCCCTTTGTGTTTTGACCCTTCCAAATTTTCAGTTTGTACAATCTCTTCAGCTAACTCACTGTCTATTGCTTTGTGTATGGAAGACTTGAATTCTTTTAATTCTACAAAATGTAATTCAATAAGAATATAATGTAACCCATGAAATTTCTCTATTTTTAATATATATGTAAAACTTGCCTAAATATTTCATGAGACGCTGCAACCTGACTTTATCTTTGCGTAATAAAAAAATCAGATCCTCTGCTGAAATAGTAATGCCCTTTTTCGAATTTCCTCGTCTCTCAGAAACTTCACAAGCTTTTTTTATTATTGTTCTCATTTGTTGTAAAACAACTTCTTCTACGATTTTCGCGGATTCAATTAATGGCTCACTACTATCTCCGAATCCATGCATCATTTGTCGTATTTCTGCAAAATGATACTCCTACTTGTATAGTATTCGAAAATAAAAATGTTTAATATCAAAAGTTTATTGCGAAAAGTTCAAATACCGGTAGTGTAATTCACAGATTCATTTCGAATGTGAATTGCTGAATCATTCGTTGGCTTGGTAAATGATGCTTCGGCCATAATTGTGTATTATTTACTAATTATTACCTCAATGAAATGTGAGTTAAAATCATTAAGAAATTTTATACAATACGACTAATAAATAACGATTAGTATTAAATCAGCAGTGCCTAGGTTATGTGTCGCACATGACATATAGTTCACTGTCACTGTAATTCTCATGACTACTTTGTTTTATTTAAAAATATCATTTTTGTAAGATCAATGGTGCTAAACGTTATCGACGAAAAATAAGGGCTTTCTCTATGTAATTATTCCGATAAAAATTTTGTTATTTGTTACTTATTTTGTTTTATAAAATTACATAATTATTCAAATTATTTCAACGTTTAATTTGTTTTTGACACCTTATCCACTTAAAGAATAAAAGATTTATGAAAAAATGTCATTATAAAACAATGCTTGTCAAATAAAAATTTTAATCATTCTAATGTACATCTTTTAAGTATCGGAAATCAGTGTTTAATCCTTTTAATTCATGATAATATTTGACAAACATCATCCCCCCTCCGAACACTTATCTACTAACTGATCTATGTGTTATAACTTTGAACAAAGAAATTATTTTTAACTGATAAATATCTAGCTACAATACAATATCTCGGTATATCAAGGAATTTGAACCTCGATTAGCTTTCGAATTTTATTTTCGTCCATATATAGCGATAGATGCGTTTACACCGAACGGATCAGACATTCAGGCTGTTTGCATTGATTTTTCGTATAGATCAAACTGACGGGAGACAAAAACATTTAAATACACAGATTACATAAAATGTTTTTTGATTACAATTTCTTGACGTCAAATGCAAACAGCTTCAATAATCTTGCAAAATAAAAATTATGCACACTACATATAAAATATTAGAAATATTTTTCTGTCATTTAATAGCTTTCTATTTTCAATATTTCTATTATCAATTGCTCAAGTCTCATTACGAGGAGGTTGGTACAAATGCAGACGCACAAAATATTAAGTATTTTATATCATGATTATTAAAACCATTTTAGAAATTAATATATTACCGACTGGAAAGATAAATTGACACGTTTCATTACTGAAATATTGAAAGCCTGTAAGCATTATTACATGTGTATATTTTTATCTAATAATAATCTCACACAATCCCTTTCAAAATCCATGTTTCCGGTTTCCAAAAACGAAATCTAACGATGCACGCTAATTTGTCTTCAATGTATTAAGTTGTTGAAAAAAATGACAAACATCCCTCTACATTGACTGATGGTATGAAACTGACAAGCGCGGCGTTTCACAGCTCTTTATGTATGTAATCTCACCTCCTGCCCAGTCCAGATAATGTCAACCGTGCTTCAAAATGTGAATAATTAAAATAAATCTAAATATTTTGTAGTTTTTTATATTTGTTAATAAAAATAGAAATATAATGCACATTAAATTCCCCCTTTACTAAGTTCTCATTACTGTTATTATTGATTTGCATTGATTATTGATTAATATTTTAAATTCTTATCATTTTGTTCTGTCAATGAGTATTACTATATCTCTAAACGTTATTTTTAAAACATATTACATTAGTACTGTTAATCTTGCTTTTACTAAGTAATCAATTTTTCGTGTATCAAATCACGTAGTATGATTCATTGTAGATAAGGATATAGTTTTAAGGATATAGATCTCTATTGAGTACCATTAAAAGATATGTACGCCCTTGATGAAAATTAATTGTTTTTACATAATCTCTTATAATAATATTGTAAATATTTAAATGAATTTTGCAGGAAAATAGTAATGTTAATATTTACTAAAATTTCTAGCGAAATAATTTTTAAATAGCATTCTTACATAGAATATTTCACAATAATTAAAGAATTAGTTACTTCTTCATAATTTTCAGAGATTAGATTTCATACATGTGAAGTTATCGCATGTAGCTTTTAATTGCCTGTACGATGTGAAGTATGTTATAAATAAGGAAAAAATGGCGGATAACGATGTAAATGGTGACTCTGATGAAGTACAACAAGAGAAATCACAGAAAAAGACAGCAAAATATGACAGCGGAGCGGCAGATTTAGAAAAAGTCACAGATTATGCGGAAGAGAAGGAAATACCCTCATCTGTTGGAATCACTTGTGTAAGTGCTTCTACTACTTTTTGTCCCACGTGTTTCTGATTGTCAACAATGTTCACCTGACTTTTCGTTGCAATGATAAAAATTCAAATTTTCTTTGGCTTCAGAATTAGTTTTGTATCACTTTTTGGTGTATCACTTATTAGCGTTTATAGAATTTTTACACATAAGTGAACAATTACAAAACCTAACCTATAAAGTTGTATGTACACATAATAATTGATAACGATAATTAAGAACAAATTGTTTGTTGTAGGCTTTAAGTATAATCGGAGATCAGCGAAATAAGGAGGCTGCGGAAAAGAAAGCAAGAGAAAAGGAATTGCTAAAAGTTTCTATTAAAAAAGAAGATGTTGATCTCATTGTAAGATATTTATGATAATTATTAGTAACATTTGCCTTGTAACTGGCTAATTTATTAATTATACTTCGAAAGTATCTCACTAAGCTGTTCAACTGAAACATTCATTTTTATTCTAGATGAAAGAAATGGAAATAAGCAGAAATGTAGCAGAACAAACACTCAGGGAACATGGAGGGAATGTTGTGGATGCATTAATTACATTAACAAATTGACTGTACAGTACGAATTTCAAGCAAATATTCATATGTCTCAATTTTATTGCAAATTATATGGACTTAGGAATTGTTATGACTTTGGGTTGTTAATAATTTATTCATATATATTACAAAATATACTCTAAGTGATTCTGTATATTCTTTTTTTTTTTTTATTATTCTTTTACCTGTAAATACCATTTATTAATGATATATTAATGAAAATGTATAAAGGGGTATGTTAAATCTCGTGAAAAAATAATTGAAGCTCTGATTATGTGTTATCTGGGTGTTACCTCTTGATAAGATTGTAGCCTTTATATGTGCAAGATGTGCTTAATGTTTTAGTTTAAATCAACGTATTTACCTGTTTGCAAAAGGTCCGACGATTTATAGTATATGGAATCTTTTCAAGTATTAATAAGATCTGAAGAATTATACAAAATCATGGTGTGATAAAGTTTGATAGTTGAAAATTGATCATGTGAAACGAATTGTAAATTTCTTATTCAAACGATGATGTGACATTAGTACACCTTACGTACATTTGCAAATTTTTCACTGCACGGATTTTTCTTTTTTTGTAACTAAAATGTTCACAGCGAATTATTTATATAATTATACAGGTGTGTATTTTGGATTTTATTTTTTTTATGCGTTCTCATTATTTATTACATCTGTGACAACGAAATATTTTTTAATAGAGCAAAGCACTTTCTCGCTTATAGCGAACGATTCTTCAGACACTGAAAATAAAAATCCTAACGTGAACGATAAACGCAGAGGTAAGATCATTAAAATACTATGAAAATCAAAGTTTCAGATTCATTTTACTTTTACATTTTACCTGCGGCAATTCATCTTCATGCTGCTGCAAATACCATGATTGTAATTTTTATCGGTAAGTTTATTTCTTTCGTATAAGTATATTGCACGCTCTATGGGACACTTTCAACTAATGTGAACTGATTTATCCTTGCAGGAATAAAGGTTGGAATATGATTACAGCTACGCAAATGATCATTTTTCTATTATTCGTATTCGGTATCTTTTTTGCGATTTTAATATATTGCAAAACCTGTACCAGGTACGAGTCACGTTCTAGTAGTTCAATTCTAGTAGAATATCGATTCTCTAAAATTTAGAGTTTATAATGCCAGCTATCTGCTTGGTTATTGTAAACAAAATTAAAAAAGTGTGAATTAGCAGTGCTTGTTCGTACTGTTCTCATACATATGATACCTATAACTATCGTTAATAAGACTTTACAGGGGATCTAGTGCAAGATATTCAGAGCACAATGCATATCCAAGTGAACGCAGTACCAGTGTAGACTCCAGGCCGTATTCCTACTCGATTTATGAATCCGCGGACAGACCACCACCTTACAACGAGGCTTGCAACGCTCCACCACTTTATGAATCTCCTTTCAATACAGTATGTTCACTTCTACTTCAATAATCGCACTAGAAGCAAACAAGTGACGACAAAAAATAAAATATTGCGAATGCCTGGTATAATAATCGTTATGATCACTTGTATTATCTTTTACTTATTATCTGGTAATGACAGATAAAACTCTAGCTGTATTGTGCAACATATCATACCACGTTCAATTGTATTTTTTCAGGTATCTATGCTTGAAGCACCACCAGTTTATCCAGAAACCCCCAAGGCGTCTGAACGGGTATCGCATTCGATTAATCAAACATTTCCGATTACGAATCACATTTAATAAAGTATTTATATATATGTGTGTCCCCGCGAATCTATTTTTAATCTAAATTAATAAATAAATATAAGGATAAGATTAGCAAAGAAAATCTCTGAATCTAAAACAAGAAATAAAAGTAATTTTTATGAAAATCTATATATACTGCTGTTATTTTCTATCTCATTAATTCCTGTTATATGCTTTAACTCGTTGGAATACTTTGAGAAACACATCATGCGTTTATTGTTAAATTGGCAAGATGTCGGGGATAATGAAAATCACGTAAAATTCTCATGATTATATAATGAAAATGTCATTTATTTGATGTGGTGCAATGACTTAAAGTAAATGGAAAAATGAACGTTTGTATGAGCTGGGTTCTATGAACAGCAGTCATGTACTTCGAAAAGCTACCACTGCTGAACTATTCATTACAAAAAGCTTCTGTTTCGTTTTATTTTTCCTTTTTTTCTTCTCTTATCTTCGGGTTTAAATGCAATATACAACGGAAGTGTATCAGACAGCAGCGCAGTAGTAGCTAGTGCGACACGACATGCTGATTTTCATGATGAGGTAACACTTGTCTTACTTGTACTTAGTTTATCAAATTATCCAGTCATACGCTCATGCAGATTGGTTCAAAAAGAATTGCATCTAATATTTCTCGAACTGTCGTACGGTATTAATATTTAGTTTCTTCGTTTTTTTAGGAAAAAGACATTCAACATTACGAGTTTTCATGAGATATTTTTTTTTTTCGCCGCACAGTCCCAAAGATAGAACATGGGTAGTAGAATGGACGTAGACAATTTTTTCGTTCCGTTTTTGACATTTTTAAAATCTGAGCGAGCACACACACGGCCAAAATCTGTTCCTTAAACCGCTTACATGTTTCATTTTGTCATTACACGTTTCTTTTCTCTTTTTTTCTTTGTTTTCTTCCTTTCATTTTTGTTCTTTTCTCCGTTTTGTCGTTTCATCTTTGTAAGCCCTAACGATCTACTACGACTGAAATAAACATCGTGTAAAAAACGGTGGAAAAACCTTCCCTAACTATGTTTCCATAGGAGTTTTCTTTTCCCTTTTAATCTCGACAGATATACATTACGGCACCGCGACGTGCGATGGCGACACAGGCAAAATGCATGTACGTGTCGAGATCAAAAACGAGATACACATATACAATCTAATCGTATTAATTTGTCGTAATTACATTACATTTACTTAAAGCATTGCTAGTGTGTTTCAAGGAACATGAGTTTAGCACAGTCTGTAAAATAGAATAAATTATAGTTGGTTATTGTACCCTTCATTAAAAGTATGGTTCCGTTTCGGTTCAGTTCTTATAAAATACAGTAGATATGTACAGTAAAAACCTTAAAATCGAAAGGGACGCTAGATTTGGGACTGTCCGGATATAGCGACCGTTTCCTTAAAAGATAAATTCACTGGCTGCCAGGATCGTCAGAAAGTTCTAGAAAGGTTGTGATACAATTGCGGTTAATTACAGTGGTCTTATCACAGAACATGTATGGCATTAAATCTTCGATATCATTACTCCTTTGTAATGGTAGGTATTTATATCTCGTATTTAAAACGTTCGGTAAAGCTAGGTCGGAGGATCAGGAAGCCAGTACGGTACTAAATGATGATTATTGTTTTGCGTATTCTGTCGGTTGCCCATAATTCAGATCATTGACCACACAATATTTCGCGATTTCAATAATTAATTACACAAAAAACGATTAATATTCTCGTACTATATAATTGACTAACTTTTTTTATTTATACAATTTCGTTTAGTTCTTTTTTTGTTTTTCTCATTTCCTGTTCGCTTTTTTTATCTTTTTTGTATCTAGTTAACGCGTGTCATCGACTTCGTTCTTCTGCTTTTCTTTTCCTTCGTATGTTTTTTTTTTTCTCACCTCGTTTAATGCGACTCTGACCAACATCTCTAGTTGATACATGTATCCTGCGCGCACGAGTACGATAGACATTTCAATAAGAATCAACATAAAATTCGATAAATTATGGACAACCCTAAATTAGCTACTATGCAATACTCGAGAAAACAAAACAAACTGTGCCTAGAGATAAAGGGGGGATGTGGGGAGGGCTAAGGAGGGAGAGAAAAAGGCCGCGTAATAGGAAGGGGACGTAGGGCGGTATCTGCAGACAAAAAATATACAAAAATACGGGGCACAGATTGCGTAGCATTAATAGTAATCATAGTAGTAGTCGTACATGTTGAGAGAAAGAGATCATAAAAAACACTAACTAGAATCATTTTTTCTCCGTTCTTGGAAGAATTCGACGTTTTCTCATTTTTTCCTTCATATTTGTTTTCCATTTAAAACTAAAAATCACTATCGGTAATAAACATATCTTATTTATTCTTGCTTGTCGCATACGCGACGAACAAGCGTGGGACATCTCGTTTGATCCGTTTTTTTTCATTTTTCTTTCGTCAAAGGAACAAAATCTTTCTTTTTTTTTCTTTCTTTCTTTCCAAATGTCTGGTCGACGTCTATCACAACTCTCTTCCCTCATGTGTCACGTGTCCCTTTTTCTTCGCGTGTGAGCCTGTGTTGCGTAGCAATGTTTCAGCGAGTTTCAATCTCGCCTTGGTCCTCTGGCTGCTTTTATTGATGCTTTTCAATAATATATAGATGGTTCGCGTGCTTCTCCAAGCTATTCCTCCTGTTGTACGAATGAAAGCAAATCCATGCGAGACCCTAATGATGCGCATTGACAAATCGCTGACCATGATGTTTGGTTCCGTGTCGAAGGATGAAAAACACGTTTGTTTTTTTTTTCTGACGCACGAGAACCCTTTACGTTAACGCACAATGCAAAGTACCAAGAAATTCCGTCCAAACCGGTTGGAACAAATATATAGTGCTTTACTCGTTTCGAGGTTATTTTCCATACGGTGTATACACGTGCTTTCTTTTCCCTTTCTTTGTGTGATAGAGGCTTCTTAAACGTCGACGACATCACCGAATTACAACAAAGTCTATAGCCGTGGGTTTTTTTTAAATTGCTTTATAAAACCCGCTGCTTTCGAACCGGCGACACCTTTCGTGTCTTCCTTGAACGATACCATTTAAATCGCGGTCGAAAACCATGAAGACCAGTTCCCGCCGCGGTTCCTTCTCAAGTGGACCAGAGGATGGCGCACTAGGAAACATTTATTTAGCACTACTTGTATCACTGTACACAAAAAAGTCATGAGGGATGCAGAATAGGCGGGGGCGATGTGGAGGTCGTGCCCGGAGTCAGCGGTGACTGTTTTCAGCTCTGTTTCACCCGCTTCCTGGGCGGTCCGATCGGTGGAATTTGTTGGGTGGCCAACGCCCGAAACGCTTCCGCTATGAGATGCGGATGTGAGTTCACCATCGACTTAAAACCCGCTGTGTCCATCACATCCGTCGCGTGTCTGAAATACAAATGGAACAAAATTGATCGAAACACGTTTCGTTGTTTTCTATTTCCATATGAATATATCAGCTGTTTTATTACTGATGTAATCTGTTTTACTGACAGATACAACGTGTGCCTGATTTAACCTCGTTTCTCGAATTTAAATATTTATCTCTATTCTTTCTTGTCTTTCTTCGAGAAGAATACTTACGTATTAATAAAATCTATGGCTTGTGCCTTCAGTTGATCAGCGCTATGCAGGTCAGCGAGGATTAGGATGTCGGCCGCGTTCTCGATCGCTAAACTCGTGCACAACGCTTCCTCGCACATAACCTTCAACCTTTCTAACGCGTATTTGTCTGCCGCGGCTAGCAGATCGTCCGCCATCTTTTCCAAATTCGCCGCCTTTCCGGTATATATGAATCGCAGCATCTCTCGTAACACTTCGTGGTCCACGTCGGTGATGTCTACGCGATTCTGCTTCCTTTCCTCCATCTCGTGCTCGAACATCGCCGAGAAAACGGGACTTCGCGCTAAACGATAAAATTGTACAATAGGTGTGATCATCGAGATTCTTCTTTTTTCCCTTTAAGGAATTTGAAATAGAAAAGCTGGAGCACGCGGTTAACCTTAAAGTTAAGCGAGGGGAAATGCAGTTTTTCGATCAAAATCGAACATAATTTGTAAATTTAATTATATTACATCGAGTTTTCATTTACCTGCAAGAATGGCTTTGTGCGCCTGAAATTCCCTCCCACACACTGTCAGCGTGACGTCGCTAAATTTTTGGTTTTCAAACAAAAGCCCAAGGTCATCCGGCAATCGACACTCTGGAACTTTGAATTGTATAGTATTACTTTGTCCGGAAATGTTCACGCTGTCCGCCACTACGCTGACCTGTAACATTTTGACGAATTACAGACACTGCACAATGTAAACACCATTAGAAGGTCGTACAAATATTAAGTATGTAACATACAAAGGTATATACCTCACAGAATATCGTGAGTTTATCGTCGGGCAAGAGTCCATTGGCTTCGTCCAAAAGGAAATCTCTCCTAATGAACTTCTTGAATCCCCAATCTTTACCTTGGACGAACCTATAAGCACGTTGGCTCTCTGAAAGCATAAAACAACCACTGTTACCATATTTTCATCGATGCAATCTTTTTTTTTTCTATTTAAAGAAATTGAAATTAGCATGGATTTTCCGTGTTCTTTCCAAGCCCTTTGAACTTCTCGCAAAATTCCACGGTAAAAACTGACACTTGGGAGCCGCCATATTTAATGGCGTCCTTACACTGTTTACTTATACGACATACGGATACATCAAATAGGTTATGTGATATATTATATAAATTTTCGATAACGATGCAGATGTATACGAATTGATAATACTAATAACAAATGGAACAGGATCTTTCAGTGTTGATATAATTATGTAAAACTCCATCCACGATTAGAGTGTCAATGTAAAATCTTTAAAATACCCTGCATTGCATCCGTTTCACACGTGTACGGCAACTTACCCATTGCTTTGGTTTCTTCTCTTTTGGCATTAAGAATAGAAAATTTGAACTTTGCTCTGACTTCGGATTTGTTGCACGAAACGAGAAGGAGATATAGAGACAGGTAGTCTTTGCTCTCCTCATCCAGACCCTTAGGATTCACTCTTAGGCACCTAAAATCAATTACCGCTAATGTAAATTCGCTTAATGCGGCTTCCCAGTCCTTCCATACGTGATATACTATTTGCTTTTTATTTACAACAAAATATAGTAAAGTATTATTTAAAAATATAACAAATGGTTTTTTTACTTCTGAAATACCTTAACACATTATAAGCAATCGTATACGAATATGTTTGAAACATGCATTTGCAAAATACTTTTATTAATAATTTAATTAACAATCGTAACAATGTTTGCTATAATTGGTAATTAAATTACTAGTCTATTCTAAACAGATTGAATAAAAGAATTTTGTTAATAAAAGAAAACAGGAAGTAGGAGATACACTTGTGCTCAGTTAAATTGGAAAAAATTAGGTCTGCTCGTTTGAATTTTCGCGAGCAGAATAACGTTTTGATTCCAGAAATTGGCTCTCGAACAGTTCGATGAAGAAAGAGAATAGAGTGAGATAAACGTAGTGCGTCAAGGAGTAACGGTCGAGAACCGACACTTGACAAAGATACCAGCTGTGTTGCAATCAATTATCATCCAATACCAAAAAATTCAGCCTATCTTTCTGAAAATATTATCAATGAATTGGTGAAATTCTGCCAATGAAAATAAGCCCAAACACGACATAAATCGGACTAATTTTACCAGTCGTCAATTTAAATATCCAAGATGGCGACGATCAGGTGAGCAATTTTTAAATGTGCTTCTAAAATTGATTACTATTAAAGACTAGTCCGATTCATGTCGTGTTTGGGTTCATTTTCATCAGGAGAAACTCATTAAACCACTGATATAATTTTCATAAAGATTAGATGAAAATTATAGAAACTAAAATTTTGAATATTGACTGATTCATTGCAACCCAGACGTCTTCCTTTCAAGTGCTGCGTCTCGCTTACTCTCTCTATGTCTATTCACTTTCCTTATCGATGTACTTAAGGCTTGCTGAGCTCGAGGCAGTGACTGGTGAGAAAAGAGTGGGGATGGTTCGTTTCAATTTAACCGAGCATGGGTGTATGAAGTGTTGTGAAACCCTCTTAATTAAAGACGTAGTACTACGTGCTTCATAGCATGGCCAAATTGAAGTATAATATCGCGTAACTAGTTTTATCTAACGTGAGATAATGGACGTTTAAACGTTGAACGTAGTGGTGTGTGTGATCAGCACGTATCACGTCTTTTATAATTCGCTCGAAAAAAACTCAATGTTATGTTTCTCATTGTATAATCGCTGTACATTTCAAATTTAGCGTTTAACTCAATACTAAAACGAGTACATAGTACTACGAACAAAATTTTAACCATCATTTTTATTTTACGAAAAAGAGAAAGAAGAAATAAAGCTAACAAGTGAAAAAAAGGAATAAAAAGTTTTAAGTTGGTGAAAAAAATTAATCTAGGTGGTAATAGGGGGTGCTACAATATCAGACATAATTACGTTACGCTAGAGGATTACCTGTGTGCGAACGTAACGGTAAAAGGGGTCCACAAAAAAAAAGCGGCTTAAAGAGAGGGTTTGGTATGCAATGCAAAGAATCTTAAACAATTTTGCCCGGATAGAGAATTTTCTACGATGGAATTCAAAAAGCGAAATTCTTCGGACTCGTGTCGCGGCGGCTGACAAACGGGTATAATCTTCCGCATCTTACCATTTTAATTTATCGTTGGCCCCTGCTGAGAAGGTGGACGACTTTAGCACTTCTCCCATTTCCTCCCGGCAAAAGCTGAAGTTATTTATCGTCCACATGTAGCTGAACTTAACCACCTTCACCTGTGCACATAAGACCTTCAAATGCAACACCACGTCAGAATACATCCCGTAGAAACTAGCTTAATATATCTACGCTAAAGGACTACGCAAGTATGCGTAAAAATATACATATTTTTATCGATTGGTATTTCTTTAAACTCGAAACAACTAATTTAATCCATAAAAATGTCAGTCATTTTACCTCGAATACAATCTTCTCGTATTCATACGAACTGAACCTAACCTTCGAAACACTGAAAAATTCATAATTACGAATACTTCTTTAAATAACTTCAACAGCGTCTTAACGGTTCTTATATAGTACGAATTTTTGTTTCCACCGTTCGGAAGGCAGACTCGCATCTGAGCTGCACTCTAGCAGTGCGCCATGAACTATGCACTACATGTAGACCAGCCTACCGACCTCTATAAGGAAAAACATGGGAACTAATCGCACGAAAACATCTTCGATATTTCGCAACGAAAATTTTCAATCTCCAACAGAGTTACATGCTCTTCAATATACCTGTCTCTCGAACAAGAGGTATAAAATTACATAGAAATAGTGAAATGATACAGAACGCATATTCCTAGTCACTGCAGGCCATCTAATTCTGCTGTTACAAACGCGCAATCAACAAGCCGCATTGCGGGCTCGGCATAAAAATACAAAACAGAAAAATTACTGTTTTTCGAGCAGCGTGACGAGTCCTCCTCTTATCGCTCCCGATTGGAGAAGACCTTCTTCCATTACGTCGTCTGGCTTTCAGACTATAACGAAACTTGTGAAACACGCTTGTGTGTACGTACATAGGTACACGTGTATGATGTATGTGTTATGTCGAATGGTTTCCTCGTCCTCGGATATATTTGTTCGCTAGTTTCGTCTCGCGTGCCTCCAAGCGGAAAGAAGAGGAAGAAGAAAAGAAGAAGAAAAGGAAAAGAAGACGTGGCGAGAGAAGAAGGAGAGGAAAAAAAAAGAGCTAACAGAAGTTCTTTTTGAGAGGAACGTCGAAGGTTCCTACGACTAAATTGATCGTAGCCTTGAAGTAGCGCGCAGACGAGCCGCGAGAAGTACTACAAGTACGGTAGGCACGTGTCAGAGAGAGATAGAGCGATAAAGCAGCCAGGGTCGAATTGAACTTATATCACTTACGTAATTGCCTTGAAAAAAACGCGCAGAAAAAAGGATTTAACCTTTGTGGCGGTTCGTTCTGATGCACACGTTCCACGGCTTGGTTAAATTATGCATCGACAATTCGACGATAATACTGTTAATGGCGTCTTGGTAAGAGGAGGAGTGGGGAGAGGGAGGTTATTTTAAAAAAAATTTGATTTTTACGATTCGGATAGAAAGTTGTCTCGATGTCCTTCGAATTTTGCATGGTAAATGTTAATCGATACACTTTTTGAAATTAAATTTTTCCTTCTTATTTGGAATGTTTTTTAATTTTTTTTCTTTTCTTTTTTTTTTGAGGTTATAAGGAAATGTAGAAGATAAAGGTTGAACTCTGCGTGTGTGTGTCTGTGTTGTGTACACACAGTGATGCAGGAATTAGAATGAAACCTGTGGGTTTAATACCTCGTTCTGCTCGTTATGAAATAAGTTACTTAATGGAAAATTGCATTCCAGAAGGTTCAAATGTTTCGATTCATCTTTAGGAATTTAGGTGGGCGTCGATTATGACGAGCATGGTGCATGCAGCAGCAGTAACAGAAGGCCAGTTACTGTGAATTTTGTAGCTAATAGAGTTTGAAGTATGGCGGATTTTCAAGTATACGCATTTTCAATGGTAATAATTTTTCAATTTTATTTTTCTCATAAAATTACAAAATTGAATTCTTCTCGTATCTTGAAGAATGAACCACTTAGAAAATAAAATCCTATTTCCCAACGATTACACAATCTGCCACGAAAACGAGATTCAAGCAGCAACGTGGATAAGTATCAATTGCATAACGCGTACAACGGAAGAAAGGTGGCGAGCGATACATACTCGACGATCGGACACCTCCTTTCCGCTCTGAAACGTGACGAGGCGTGCGTCCACACTTCCGCTCGATATCGATTCGAACGAGAATCGTCAACGTTTCGCAAGCAGTATCTTAAAATTATTCGCGATTCACTAGGAAGCGATAAAACTCGTCTATTATTAAGTATGAGAAGTTCTCTAAATTATCGCCAACATATCAAACAGAGCTGAAAATTTAATTTTCAGCCTTTTATATACAAAAAAATCGATTTTTCATACTTTCAAATTGGATTCCCCTTCGTTTTCAAAATTTTAAAATACAGAGCTCAAAATTGTTGCCTTCAATTAACAGTAGATGGCACGATATGTTCATAAAAAAATCTAACAATCAATTTTTTATACTTTCAAATCGGATTTCCCCCTTTTTCGAAAATTTCTAATAAAACATGGTAAATCGAACGTTTTTATAATCTGGCTCCAGGAACATTTCTGTTGCATATCGATATCACAGCTGAAAATTATTATTTTCAGTTACATTCAAGAAGAAAAAAAATCTAAAGAAAAAAATGGATGTCGAAACCTGAGTGGAAAGCATGGGCAGGACAGAGATACGCTTAGAAGAGGAGGAAGAGGAAGAAGAAGAAGAAGAAGCCGAGGTCGAGCCCCCACGAGTCAACGATCCTTGACGTCACGCGTGTGCACGACCTTGGCGAACGAAGCCGAGCCCGGAGCCAAATCTATTTGTCTAGTTCGCCTTCTGCTCGACGTGGCCCTTATCTCGATCCGCGTTATGGCCTCTGTCACAAGAGAGCGTGTGGCCTCTCTCTTCGTCGTAGAGCCCTTGAAGAGTCATTTCGAACCGGAGAGTCCAGTGAAATTTTCTTATGGAACCTGTCGTTGCGCAAGTCGCATTCATGAGACGTACACTGCACACTCTGGCTCATAAGTGTTTGTCCATCCATTTATTCACAATGTTCTTTATTACTTAAACGAGCAACATTCTTTAATCAGTTTCTAAGAAAAACGTCAAGAATGTAAATTGTTCTGTAAACGTTCTATCTGAAGAAGTATAATTCTTTTGCAAAAATTTATCAAAGTCTTTAAGTAAAGAACAGAATGTGAATAGGCAAATACTTATACGAGCAGGCTGCGGATGTTTATGCAATTATGAGATATGAAAATATGCAAAATACACGAGAGTAACGTTAGAATCTGTTGAGGTAAACAAGAACACTAATCCATGGATAAATGTACCATAGTAATGTTGCTCTTATGTACTTTTGCATATTTTCATATCTTATGATTGCATAAGCATCCGCAGTCTACTTAGGAGTGATAGTGTAGATCATTTATCATGAGAATACACGGTTTCATAGGATAGTTTATTATCTGATAGTTGAGAATATAAAGCACTTTTTAAAGGAAACCAGCTTTTAACTATTCACTAGTGTTAGCCTCAGTTACTGATACAAAGTTTCTTGTCTCTCTGCAATAAATGAGAACAAGAACACTGACATATTACTTAATCAAATTAACAGTTCAGTCATTTTTCAACTAATTAGTGAAATGAAAGAGACTGTTTTTCTTTCTCTTGGAAATATCTTGCAATAATTGCACCACTTGTACCACAAAAAAAGTGCAGATCAGTAACAGTAAATTAAACATTAAAATGAATAAAATTCTGGTATTGTATATCTTTTTAAATGAAGCTATTTCTACAATTTTTCCTAACATAAAATTACACAATACCAATCTTTTCATCCTTCTGGTGTTTAATTTAAAGGCAATACCTAGATTGAAATGATTCAAACAATTCTCTGAAATCCCGTTCGATCAAACAACAGAAACAGAGTCTCTGAGAACTGGTAGCAATGAAACAGTCTGGCACGGTGTGACACGGGGTCACCGTTCGATTTCCCTTAATCCGGCAGTAGAACAGTGTGAGCCGCAACGGGAAAGAAAGAAAAGCTAACAAGCGTCGAGAGAGAGAATGGAAATAATCGATTTCAATGGACGATTATCGATATATCCACGCGGTAAATCAACACGTAGCGTGAAACGTTGATTCGTTTCGAAATCGATGAAATTCTCCTTCGAGATTATATATGTATATATGTATTAACGTCTGTGTTTTCGTAGGAATAGGAAAATTCATGGTGAAAAACGGACGCGAAACGGTGAAAGAGAAAATCTGCACGTTTGAAAAGACGCGAAGGAATCGATGCATAAAGAGGGAAGCGTGAGAAATGCCGGCACAACGACCCTGGAGATGAAGTGAAAGTCTCGTCTCTCTCAACCTCCGTCTTTCTTCTCCCTTGATCGCCGCCGCCTTTTTCGTTGGAAACAATGCGCGGCTACTGTGGCACAGGGTAGGAGAAATTAACGCGTCCAGAACCGTGGGAAAACGAGGAATTTCCGCGGAAGTTTGCGCTCGAAATGGAACTATTTTTGGGTGAAATCGGAGCGCTGATTTTCTGGTCCATAAGTGTGTCCAAGATTTTTCAATGCAAGTTAGAAAAGTTGGAAAAATTAAAAAAGTTAACAAAGTTAAAGTTAAAAATATTTAAAAAGTTGACAAAGTTCGAAAAGTAACAGAAAAATACAATTTTTTTTGTAAATTGGTCAAAAATGCAAAAATTTTTGTCAGATCGGCGTAAAAATTGTATTATTTTTTTTCATATGCTGTAGAATTTTAGTAATTAGTTTACGCGTGCTTCGAGATAAAAAAGGTTAAAAATCGTCGAGTTAGAGCATTGACAAAAAAAAAATTAATTTCTCTCTCTTGAAATTAGTGAAATTATTTTGATACAGGAGTATCTTAAGAAAAGAAATCCTTTAAAAAAGTCATTACTGACTTATGCAGAATAATGCTTGACAACAGTGTATTTGCCCATTATTCCATAAAACAGCGACTAGTATTTCTTTCCATCTCTATTAACGATCGAACAACCTGTAATTGCGCAAGAACTTGATCGAAACAACAACGAGCTAGTCTTTCCTTTGTTACACGTCGATATCTTAAAGAAGAAGCGACGTTTTGCTCGCTCA